AGAAAGAAGGATCTTTGTCAAAAGAAGGAGTGGGGAGGGTTTCTAAACCATAATAACAGGTGTCCACTGAGGGATAGGTAGCCCAGGGCAAGTCAAAATGTCTTTGAAATTTTACCTTTTAAATTCATGTAAATTTTGTCTGATATGTCTGTCTGTGTCTGTTATCATAATCTTTTAAAGGTCCCATGCTATTGAGGTCCCCCAGGAAGTAGACTCTGAGGGGATAATTTGAATTCACGATGTTTATTGGGGAAGGTTTTTGGAAACATCTGTAAGGGGTAGGGAAGCAAAATGGAGCAGAGGGAAGTGTTGGACTGTGACGCCTGCAGCAGAGGCCTCAGCCAAACACGGGGCCTGGGGCTGTGGGGGCCTTCACAGCTGCCCCAGACTGAAGCGCGGGGACTTGGCCTGCATGCCAGTGAGCACGGGGTTAAGGGCAGCTCCTGAGGAGGGCTGCTTACCACAGCTCCCGTTATGTTATCTTTGAGTAAATTAATTCCACAGAATTGTGTCATGTTCACCTACCTGTTGTTTTAAATGGTCCCTGAAATATTCCTGTGTAGCTTGAACAGGGATCCCAGACATGTGGGCACCCCAGCCTGAGAGTCACAGCAGAGACACTGGGAGGCCATCATAGCGGGACGAGAAGAATGAGGAAGAAACAGGAGGAGGGCCTGTTCACAGACCCACGTTGTCGTCTTTGTGTTAGTAGCAGTAGAAGTCTAGGAAAACGTGAGCATTTTCATGTTCCAGAGGCCTTACCTTCTCGGTCACTGCTGCCAGTGCCCTTTGTCTTGCTTTCTCTTATTTTGATCATAAAAGGACTTGGAAACCATTGGAATTTTTAATAATACAGGCTTATAAAAATGTGTTTCTTCATCACAGTTTCAGCTTCTTTCATTATCAGCAGTTTTTGGTCATTTTGTGAACAGTATAATGGGGTCAGCCTTTAGATGACAGGGATGAATACAGCAGAAAGAACTTGATTGCAGGGCGGTGCCTGTGGCTCAAAAGGGTAGGGCACTGGCCTCATATGCTGGAGGTGGCGGGTTCAAACCCAGCCCTGGCCAAAAACTGCAAAAAAAAAAAAAAAAGAAAAAAAAGTTGGAGGACTTGATTGCAGATGGCCAGGAGTCCCACACTGCACTCAGCTGTGCGTAGGGAAAGGAGTGTGATCCACGTACACCGACTATCTTCTCGGGCAGTGAGGTTTCAACCTAGTTTATTTTATGCTGGTTGAATCTCATTGACAGGTTTAATATTATAATTAATACTATAATTACATTATTTCTTCTGTATAGGAATGCATTTCTTTTTCCTCTTTATGTTATTTTATTTACTTAGTATTTATCAACTAAATGAGACACTTAAAGGTAATATGAGTTTGGACTGAATATTGATTTCTTGAGCTGGAGGGCATGCATCTCTGTGGCATAGATGTTTCCCCAACTTCCCCGGAGGATTCTGAATAATAGTGATAGCTAAGGAAGAGATTTACTTATCTAAACATCACAGCATCTTAATTCACTTATTGAACAAATATTCACTGAGCACCTGCCTATATGTAAGACACTGTTTGGGTGGTTGAGAATCCGATCACTGAACAAATACATAGAAATTCTTCTCTCATAGAGCTTATAGTCTAATAGGAGGAGGCAGACAGCAAACATGCCAATAACTTAGGTAGACTATTAAGAGGCAAGAGGGGTTTTGGGAAAAGATGTAGACTAGGGAATTGCTAGTGGCGTTGATAAGGTGATATTTGAGCAAGAATGTGAAAGATATGAGGGGATTAGCTCTGTGGATATCTGCGGTAAAGCATTCTGGGAAGAGGGAGCTGCCTTTGGGGCTAGAGTGGGAAGAAACAGAGAGGAGATACTTCTCGCTTTTTCTTTTTGAGGGACAGGGTGGGGCATAGAGAATGCTGGTGCTCTAGTCTTTTATTTATTTATTTATTTTCTATGTGTGAGACAAGTGTCTCATTCTGTTGCCTGGGCGTCATCATAGCTCACTGCAACCTCAGACTCCTGACCTGGAGGGATACCCCTGCTTCAGCCTCCTGGAGTGCTAGGTTTAGAGGTGTGAGCCACCATGCCAGGCCTGGTGTGCTAGTCTTAACCTGATAAATACACCGGGATGCCCAGAGGCAGCTCACCTCTTTAAATGTCTTTTCTTTCACCATTTTAATTAATTGTAAAAAACCAGAAAGAAAACTCTTTTAGCCAGTCCAATAATACACACTTTAGTCACTGATTCCTTTGGCAGGGGCTGGGTCACAGTGCAGAGGAGCAGAACAGACGCATCTGCCTCTCCTGTTTTGGTTTCTTCTCTGTTCAGCGCTGATTTTGACACCATGAAGTGTGGGCTTAGGTTGACGCTGCAGCTTTAAGTCATAGATCTTTCCAAAGGTATCTAATAATCTCTAGCAAAAAAAATAAGTATTGTGAATATCAGAAATATTCTATGTACCAGGTACATCTTAAAAGTTAGAAAACCATTCTGTTTTCTAAGAGTTATGTAAGCCACAGAGGGCAAGATCAGGACACTTAGTCACCATCCTGTGTCCCTTCTGCACATCCTCATGGCTGTGAGCCTGGAGCTATGCCCACTTACCTCAGGCCTACAGGGAGACCCCAGGGAGACTCAGTCTCTATGAGCATCTCTCACCACTTACAAAAATTAACTCATGCTAGGTGAAAGATTTACACCAAGACACAGAGCAAAAACTTCAGAAAAAAGTGTGGGAGAAACTCTTAATGATATCAATCTGGGAAAGATTTTATGAAGAAGACTCCATTGGCAATTGTAGCAACAACAAAAATAAATAAATGGGACCTGATCCATCTGGAAGGCTTCTGCACAGCCAAGGACACAATCAACAAAGCAAATAGGCAGCCTTCAGAATGGGAGAAGACATTTGCAGGTTATGACTCTCACAAAGGGCTAACCACATCTACAAAGAACTCCAGTAAATCAACAAGGAAAAAGCAAATTACCCCATTAGTCACTGAGAAAGAGACATGAACAGAACCTTCTCCCAAGATGACAGACAAATGGCCAACAAACATATGAAAAAATGCTCATTATCCCTAGTTATCAGAGAAATGCAAATCAAAACCACCCTGAGAGATCGCCTTACCTCAGTGAGAATAGCCCATATCACAAAGTCCCAAAGCTACAGATTCTGGCATGGATGTGGAGACAAGGGGACACTTAAACACTGTTAGTGGGATTGTAAACTACTACTTTTTGGAAAGAAATATGAAGAATCCTCAAAGAGCTAATGATAGAACTTCCATTGGACCCTGCAATCCCTTTACTAGGTATCTTTCCTGAAGGGAGTAAAAAAACCCTCATTTTATCATAAAGACATTTGCACTGGAATGTTTGCAGCTCAGTTCATGGTCACAAAGATGTGGAAACAACCTAAGTGCCCATCAACCCGTAGATGAACTAACAAACTGGTATATGTATACCATGGAGTACTGTTCAGCCATAAAAAAGAGGAAGACTTTACTTCTTTTGTATTTACCTGAATGGATAAATAAATGGATATTCTTGTGTTACTTAGTAAAGTAATGTACCCATCTACTCAATACTAATTTGAAACTAGGAGATGAACAACTACAGGCCCACATGAAAGAAAAACACAATTAAATTCAAGTAGGAGGAGAGGGAAGGAGGCAGGGGCTTGGTAAGTTGCCATCTGACAGGTGCAATGTGGGAGTATATAGCACCCCTCAACTACAACTTGTACCTAACAAGCACAAGCAATGTAACGTAATCATATATATCCTTACATTAATCTAAAATTAAAAAAAATAAATTGGTAAACAATTTTTAAAAAGAAAAAACATTTAACCAAAATTCAGCAGTTTCTTCAGTTTCCCTTTGGTTTTTCTTCTGATAAATTCAAATAAAACTTTTAAAAAATTGCAATGTTAGAGAAAAGTATGTGGTACTATAAAATTTTAAAATAGGATTTGACTTATTCAGGGAGGAAAGGAAGGCTTCTCTGAAGAAATGGTGATTCTGTTGACCCTGATAATCTGAAGAAAGTGTGGAAGTAGGCAGTGCAGGAGGCCAGCCATGGGGGTGAGGAGAGAGGAATGTCCAAGGCAGGTCACCTCAGAAGCCCAGGGCTTTGCAGCATAGATGAAAAGGAGAGGACAAATAAGTAGAAAATACAGTGGACCCTCCCTGCACTGACCACCTGCCTACAATGACCACTCCTTCAGTTGACTTAGTTTTCTTTTTTTCTTTTTAATGAGACAGAGTTTCACCCTGGGAGAGTGCTGTGGCATAACAGCTCACAGCAACCTCAAACTCTTGGTCTCAAGTGATCCTCCTGCCTTAGCCTCCCATGTAGCTGGAATACAGGAGCCTACCTCAATTCCCAGCCAATTTTTTCTATTTTTAGTGGAGATAGAGTCTCACTTTTGTTCAGGCTGGTCTACTCTTACTCAAGCTGGTCTCTGAACTTCTGAGCTCAGGCAGTCCATATACCTTGACCTCCCAGAGTGCTAGGATTATGGGCGTGAGTCACCTCACCCAGTGCATTGACCTAATTTTCATAGATTGGACATGCACTGCATGTACGTATTAGTACAGTAGGCTTAGTTCCTTATGACCACCTCGGTATTTTGACCAGTTTGTTAAAGTCCCTAGGATGGTCAACAGAGGTTCTGCTGGTCTCGGGAGGGGAAGTAATATCCATGAGATTCAGTGATGGGCTGAGGGAGAGGGACCTGCCAATATAGCAGAACAGCTGTAAATTAATACTGTGATTGAAGGTTCAGCTGCAAGGAGGGCCTGTGAGTGTGCAGTCTCTGTCCATCTCTCTGCATGACTGGACTCATTTTAACTGGCCTTTAAAACATAATAGAATAGACTAGGTACCATCTCCTTCAGTGACACTTCAGTTTATATTTTATCTGAAGATCTCAGGAAGTAACCTAATGAAAATTTCATGGCTATTTTCTTTTTATTTTAACTGCTAGAATCTTAAGAAAATTCAAGAAATGGAAAAGAGTGATGAGTCTAGCACAGACCTGGAGGAGCTGGAAAATGCCGACTGGGTAAGGTGCTGGTGTGCTTCCTGTCCTGCCAAATGTCTTAGAGAATAGTGTGGGTTTTTTTTAAATGGTGGTTATTAAAGACTATAGTATGAATTGATATTATATGAATTTTGAATGCTTAGTCTTAGATTTGAAATATCTATTTCTCATTTTAAATACATTCTGCTTTTATTAGAACCACCCCCAATTTTGCTGGGAATTTTAAGTGCTTTAAAATAATATTTCTTATTATATTAATACCTTAACATACTCTTAAATCAAAGATTAAGGTCTGTTTTCAGGGTTAAGTGTGAAACTAGTAGTGTAATACATTCATTTATCCAGTGAACAGTTATTAGATTAGACCTTAAGGATGCAGAATGAATAATATGGGGTCTCTGTCCTCAGGTAATTTGGATTAGAACAGAACACAGATTTATAGAACAGATGAGTGTGGTGCGTTTATATGACAAACTTTGAATATCTACTGTTTTTCATGCATGGTACTAAATTCTAGTGACACCTAAGTCCCTGCCCTCAAATAAAACTTAAGAGTTGGTAAGCATGACGCCTTGGAGACAGGACCGTGAAAGTCATGAAGGGTAAGATTCGGTCATTCCAGGGATCAAAGGAAGGCACATTTTAGGATTCCGTCTTTTTAGAGTAAAGATACTGTATAAATAATGCCATTATTAAATGAGAGAATACAGATTTGGGGGATATACATGAATCACTTTTGACCAAATAGGTTTTAATTGTTGCCGTATTTTTTTTTCTAACAGCATTATTGAGGTAAAACAGACATAAAATAACCTGTGCATATTTAAATTTATAATATGATAAGTTTTGGCATATGTATACATAGCTGTGAAACTTTGACCATAGTCAGAATCATGAGCCTATTCATTGCCACCCAAATTCCCTCATTCCCCTTTGTAACTGTACCTCCTGCATCTTTGCTCCGTTTCTAGGCAGTCAGTCATATGCTTTATGTACTATAGATCAGTTTGCTTTTCTAGAATTTATTATAAATGTAGTTATAAGGTATACACTGGGTTCTGTTTGGTTTCTTTCATTCAGCATTACCTTTATCAATAGTTTGTTTCCTTTTATTGCTCTGTAGTATTCTGTTGTGTGGACGTATCACAAGTGAATCACCCAGAAAAATTAGAAAGAGAAGAGATGCGAGAGAATTAGAATCTCTTTAATGGCCAAATCTAGGCATCTCAGAGTCTTAGTAGTAGGATGAGGGGTAAATGATAAAATCCCCCCCCCAAACACATACATGAAGGGAAATGTGTGTTATTTTATTTAATAATTGTGATTTTAATTTCTGAATAACATTGTATTAGATTTTTGCTACACAATAGTATGTGTGTATGGAATTGGCTATATAACTAAGTCTATTTGAATCCTTTTATAAATTACAGCAAATGCTTCTAATGTGAGTAATCAACCCCTAATTTTTCTGTTTTGGGAATCCAAAGTTTTGTATGTCAGATTTAAGAGAAGTGACAGTGTGTTAAAAGATGAGATAGTGTTTGAATAGGATCTTAAAGGAATGACAAAAGGAAATGGAGAAGTTGGGACAAGAGTACCCCAAAATGAGAAATAAGAATACTTCAGGAGGGCGGCACCTGTGAAATAGGATGCCAGCCCCATATACCGGGGATGGCGGGTTCAAACCTGGCCCCGGCCAAAACTTCAAAAAAAACAAAAAGAATACTTCAGGAATATTATCTTAGAAAATCTTTAAAGACAGAATCTAAGTTTTAAAACATGAATATTTTAGAAGGATTTCTAATGAATACACCACAATATTAAGCATCTCAAATCCTTTTTGGAACTAGGGAATGGGAAATGGTATAATTTTTCTATGTATAAAAGTACACACATACTTTATATTAGAGAGAGGGAAGAGAGTGTGGGGAGAGATAAGAGAGAGAGAGAGAAGAGAGCAGAGCAGGGAGTGAAAGAAGGGAAGGTGGGAGAAAGAGAAGAGGGCAGGGAGATGGCATGGCAGCAGAGAAAGAGGAAGAACACCTGCTGGGAAGCACAGATTGTTACTGAGGGCACTGTTTTTAAATTTTGCTTTCAATCTTCTTAGTTTGAAGTTTGTTCTTTCTCTTTCTTCCTTTCCTTCCTTCCTTTCTTTCCTTTTCCTTTCTTTCCTTTCCTTTCCTTTCCTTTCCTTCCTTCCTTTCTTTCTTTTCTTTCTTTCTTTCTTTTCGACAGAGTCTCACTTTGTGGCCCTCAGTAGAGTACTATGGCGTCATAGCTCACAGCAACCTCCAACTCTTGGGTTTAGGTGATCCTCTTGCCTCAGCCTCCCAAGTAGCTGGAACTACAGGTGCCTCCCAGAATGCCTGGCTTTTTTTTGGTAGAGACAGGGTCTCACTTTGGCTCATGCTGGTCTCGAACCTCTGAGCTCAGGGCAATCCACCCACCTCAGCCTCCCAGGGTGCTAGGATTACAAGCATAAGCCTGGCCTTACTGAAGGGATTTTTGAGAAATTTAATCAGTGTTATTTTATGTAAAAGATTTTTATGAAATATATCACTTGATTTTACAATAAATGTATTTCAGTAGCTATTTAAGTCACTTCTTAATTTTAACAAGCTACAATATTTTAGCTATTATATTGATTGACTTTTCACTGAAATAGAAACTGTGACACCATAGGTTACAGGCAGTAGAACAAAAGAGTTAAATATTATACATATTTAGTATGTTTTATATAATGTTAAGTACATTCATATAAATTCTATTTTATTCTCAGAACTCTTTTTTATTTTTTTTAAAAAAGTAGAGATGGCATCTTGCTCTTGCTCAGGCTGGTCTCAAACTCCTGAGCTCAGGCAATCCACCTGCCTCGGTCTTCCAGAGTGCTAGGATTACAAGTGTGAGCCACTGCGCCCAAGCCTCAGAACTCTTTTTTTGAGACGGAGTCTCCCTCTGTTGCCCTAGGTAGATGCCCATGGCATCATTGCTCATAGCAACCTCAAACTCGGGGGCTTGAGCAATCCTCTTGACTCAGTTTTTTTTTTTTTTTTTTTTTA